TCTTAAGCAGACTAACACGGACGCGCTGCAGCTCATTCACTCCCTTCTTAGCATAAGCAGCGAAACGAAGCTCAGAAACTGCAAACTTAAGATCTTGAATCTGAGAGAAGTGGGGGCAGAAATATTAGACCCCTTCAAAGCAACGAGCTCAGAATCTGCCATAGTATTTGCCATCTCCTTAGCAGCCTTGCTATATTTGCATCATAGCAAGCAGAGCGGTCCTTCTATATTGGGTCGTATGCTTCGCAAACGAGCTTGGGCAAACAACCTTTCTGACGCCATCAACAAACTTGGCACAAACATCCATGTTTTCAAGAGATCTGGTTTCAAAAGCACATAGATCTCAGCAGCCTCCCCAGAAGCAGGTTTAGTGGATTTCTCACAGCTGCCTATGCGAGTAGTCTCCTCATTCCCAACAGGCGAATCAGTCTCAGCAGCTAAGGAATGGGCCTTGGCGCCACTTTAGCAGTAGAGTCCACCTTATCGCTTTTCATAATAGCAAGCCTCTCCAAAGGTGAACTGGACTTAGCTCCCAACAGACGTCTTGGTACAAAATTCGGCACTAAGGGCATGACAAGACCATTATGCCGAACAATCCTATCAGCAATCGTACTAGCCATTCTTGACATGGCAGGCGCCACATGCTCAGATCTAGCAGCCTCATTTTTCGTCCCCTTGGAAAAAGTCAAGTCAATCACAAGCCTGGAGGTAGTCGGCGAACCAGCTCGAGTAGCGAAAGAAGTCTTTGGTTTTTTCTCAGCCAGCATCTCTTGAGCAAGCAAAGAAGATCCATTTTCCCACCTTCAGTTGCAGCGGGATCCACAACGGTGATTGGACGAGCCAGTGCATCCACTTTGATCCTATTCACCTCCTCTTTTGGGAGCCGCCCACGTTTCTCCTGACGAAAAGAGTTAAAGTAGCTAATGTCATTCGTGGTACCTAGCAGGGAAGTTCAACCCAACATTCTAGCAGTTCATGAGGACCGCAACCTCTTCATTTCTCTTAATCACCGGCCTAGCTTGCGTCATGTCCAAAAGCCTAAAAGGACATAAGCCATGTGACTTGCCTAGCACTGCGCCCCAGTGCCACAATCCGAGGCCCCAGCCACACAAGTTGCCCTTGGTTCTAGCCAAGTCGAGCAGCTTAAAGCAGTGGTCCCTGCCACAATACCTCCTCGACCCATGCCGAGTCGACTCCTGGCCCATGCCAGCCAACGTGCCGCACCACCCCGACGGCTGCCCTGCGGTAGCACCATCCACGGAGAAGACGAAGAAATCAACGAAAGACGGTCCTTTGCACGGGCAAGATGTAGAAGATTGCTAGAGGAGGGGGAACAAATATCCTCTAAGCCATCTCTCTCTTGTAGGGTAGAATAAATCGCTCTCCAAAGTTGATTTAATAACCCACTTAAGGTGGATTTAAATAGGCTTTGAGAGAAATTTATTTCCCTTTCCTAGAAGGATCTAATTTCCTATTAAAGAGAGAATATACATCAAAATAGGAAGCAGTCTTAAGTTTCCTAAAGCAAGAAGATCTCTACACCTGCTGCCCTTTTCTGCGAGCAGCCCAACAGGTGTGGGGGCATTTGTGGAGCCAAAAATATTCACTAGGTGACATGTGGACTTTTGGACAAAAGAGGACAAAAATACCCTCGAGGCATACCGGGTTTCCTACACGCGAGCAGTAGAGAATCATCCATCAACCAAGTCAGGAGTACCCAAAATGGGTAACAATTCAAAACCTATTTCATTCCATATATGTTTTTACCTCATTTTTTCCTTATTCAATTAGCCATTTATTTCAAACATTCCATAACATCCTCAACCAATTAAATATAATCAATATATTAAGGGCTAATTACATCACCAAATTAAGCCCAAAAATCACCCTAAAGGCCGGTTATCCCTTCTCCAAAGGGAGCCGGCCATTTCCTTCTTTTTTCACCATAATTTTCCTTTTTTGTGACATTGATTAGCCAATTATACAAAAAACCACCAAAACATTCATTTTATGTTTAATAGCCAAATAAATTGGCTAATTAAACCTAAATCAAACCCAAAAAACCCTAGCCACCTTCTATCCCTATAAATATACTCTCATTTCTCACCAAAAAGCCAATTTCCAACACTTTGGCAAAAATCCCAAAATTCTCTAAACACTATTTCTCTCTAAATTCTAACTTTGGCATCGGAGGTTCTTCGGCCAAAGCCCCCCCATTCATCGTGGGCGCGTGAGGCTCTTGGCCTTAACCTAAGGTGTTAATTGTTTTGTAGGTGCAAAATTGTCCAAGATCAAGGAGGAAGAAATTTGCATCCACACCAATTATCTCTCCGACTACTTCACAAACATACATCGCACTCCATTCTCAAAATTCAGTATCTAGGACCTTCCGACATGTAGCCAACCATTTGACTCTTGAGTATTGAGTTCGATTGCGGATGAGTCCAATCCCCGGAGCCCTTAGACTGGCCTCGGACCTACCAACCCCAAATTCACGCCTAACTTCAAAAAATTCAACAAAGCTTCACTACAAACTCACTTTAAAAAAAATAAAAACATTTTCAAGGTCCACATAAAAATAAAACTTAAAAAGTTACCGAAACAACTTTTAAATAGTTTCAATTCTCTTTTTATTTGAAAAAAAAATGAAATCATTTATCAAAATAGTTTCAAATTTTCAGTTTCAATGAATGAAAATTACAAGCTAAAAATTGAAAGAAAAACAAATCAATATTTATGAATATTTTCTTTACCAATTCCTAATATCACAAAACTATTGAACCTCAAGGTTTTAATGATGTTACTGTGATCCTAAATTTTACTAATGCTACGTTTGGATGAAAAACTTTAAAATTCAATGAAATTTTGGACTCAATTTTAAAAATGTACAACAAGAATAATACCAAATTACTATTGAACTACAAATTCATTACCAAAACATAACAAATGCTATTAGAGGTGTCGTTTGAAAGGTCCCTCAATCACTTTCGAGTCATTCTATGTTACTTTTGTTGATCATGTTGAACAATGTTAAGGTTCCACACCCAAAACATGGCTGAATCAAACACAACCTATAATAAATGGTTTATATAAATGCTCAATGCACAAGTTCTTGCAACTTTATAGTCCCTCATGGAAACACTAAATCGACAGCTCTAGTTTTGTATCAACTTATGCGTACTTTCAACCTCATGTCTGTGTTGTTAAGAAAGGCATCTCAACTCTCTGCATAATTTGTGTTCATACAAGAACAATCACGTGAACCTAATAGCAACAGTTTGAATCTCATTCTAACTATTGACGTAGGACAGGATAGATGTCGATTATATAGAAATAGAAGAAAAAGGAAGAGATATTTAAGTAGTTGTGCAAATTGGGACTTTGCACGTCCGATGGAAGTTGCTTCCCACTAAGAGCAATTCTAGCCCACAGGCGCTTCAACGTACTAACAAACCAAATTACGCCCCACCCAAGAAGTATTCCTCCACAGCATGTCATTCCAACTATAAGAAGGAAAAACCAGTACGTAGATATTTTGGATCAGATGTCACAAATCCCCAACGGGATAGGCCATCCAATCCCCTCGCACCCCCCCCCCCAAAACAAAAAAAAAAAACCACTCAAGCCCATTCAATCCACTGGGCTTTGGGGGAGCCCAGTTGCTCACCTAGTGGATAATTGACTGGCCTAGCCCCCAGGGTCAATGATGCATGGATGACGACATGGTGATGTCTTAAAAAAATAATTAAAATTTTGAAAAATCATAAAAATTAATTAAAAATACAAAAAAAAAATTTAATAAATATATAACCATGTTCTTCCACCTTACATCGCATTTCAATATTTTCAAATACTTTCAACTAGTCTTTTAGTATTATCCTAAATTAAAAACAAAATTATTTTTATTATTTTATTTAAATAATAATAATATTTTAACATAAATTGCCTAGACTATTCAGTTTAGGGGTGGAGATGCACTTGAGTAGTTATTGTTTATTAAAGATAGTTACTATTCACTTGAAGGGTTTGAATTGCCTATTGCCCAGGGGCTTTTTAGGGGTGGACATGCTCTAAATAGCTGGTATGTTGTAGCGATTTATTTTAGTTGGTCAATTTCTCTCTCACTCATGAGTGACTTAATTCGTGATAAGTAAGAAAAAGAGATTAGATTGTTAAGTTTCCTTTCACTAAAGCCCAGACAACTTATAGTGATTCATATCGAGCTCTGTTGTTTAGGCTTTTTCATTCGCATACTGAAACGGTATAGTTGGCGATGGCATAGTACTACTGCTCTAGATCTGGGAAGACGTTGATGTTTTGGCTGAGGGAAGGGAGAAGAGAGAGGAGACAGACGCCTGAGGGAGAGGATATAGAACTACCAGGTTTTATAACACCGTTGTAACTTAAGTTCAAATTTTAATCTCGTTCGTCCATATTAATTTAACTGTCTTTATTTACATGTGTAATGTGCACTAGAAAAAATTTGGCCTTATGGGTTCCTACTTGGGCTGACAAATTTGAGGGCTACGTCCTTTCCAAGTAACAATCCAATTGGAAATTAATAAGGAATACAATCCTGTACAAAATCAAATTAAAGAGTCCCAAAAAGAGTAAGAATCCCTAAACAACATTAAAGCAAAACTTATTGTTTCCCATCCGTAACCTCATTGGTTCCCAAAAAAACTTGCCAGATATATTCTGATTTGTGTACCCAATTGGTTACTTGAAGCTCAAGTAAACAGCCCAGAATCCCTAATCGTTAGGTCTCTTATAAACCCTCAGTCTTTCCTTCCCTTCTCCCAAACATTACCAGCTTGTGAATCTACATGCAATCGGCTAAGAATTCTTTTTCCTTTTACTCTCCTAAGGAAGATATGATCTTGGGAGAGAGATATACGTCAGTCATGGTTGATCAATACTGTGAAGACCCCAGTCACGAAGACAAAGAGATGGCTACGACGACTGAGGGTGCTAATCTTCTTCTATACCTAAAACGCAAACTTTTGAGTGCCGAAACAGCCCGAAAATTGGAGTACATGAAATACAAAGTTCTTTCTCAAAATGGGTTGTATTCGTATGCAAGAACCAAGAGAAAAGCACCACGAATCGAAGTGGATGAAGCCCCGCTACCCCAAGGAGCCATTAGTGGTCCTTCTGCACCCCAAGAAGCCATTGAGGGTGCTTCTCCACGAGGACGACGCTTGCCGGGAGAACCACAATTACAAGTAATTCAAGGCTTGTTCTATGGAAAATATGCCCCTCCTGATCTCCCACCAGTCCCAAGTCTACGGTCCTTAATTCAAGTTCACAGCAAGCCTTTTGAGAAACAACTGACAAGTAGTGATGTGAGGGATGACCAATCTAGGCTTTCGATGTGCAAAAAAGATGTCGAAAATCACATCTTCCCGCTGTTGAAGGACGACGAAGACCCTAACCGAGGCATTCCTGTAACAACTTATGACATGGGCGGTAATAAATACCCTATGGTGTTCAAAACTTGGGTGTCCAAGACTCATGTCCTCACTGGAGGTTGGAAAAGTTTTTGTCATGATCGCGGATTGGTTGAGAAGATTGATTTTGTGACGGTGTGGGTTTTTCGGAATGTGGTGAATGGAAGCCTTTGCTTTGCCATCAATTCAAGAAGGTTTCCGGCCGTGTCTGAAGCCATCAAGAAAAGAAGAAGGCAGAACTGAGACTGGAGGTCTGCATACATATTGTCCATACTAAGGTTTGTTTTAGGGGTTTTTTCTTCATATTTTTGATATTGGGCATAAGGTCCAATTAATTAGGGTTCTTTTGATGTTTAGGCATGCAAATGTCCATAATTAATATGTGATTGTTGGTTAATTGCTTTCGATTTCGTTAATAGTATTTTTGTATGTTGGTAGTTTCTTCTAGTTCATATATCATGTAAGTGCTTCATAATTTTGCAATTTCAAGAGTAAGAATTTTGGACCATGTTCGTGCTATTAAGTAATGGGAAATGTTAGAGAGATGGTAGACGTTATTATGTAACCTCCCTAATAAAGGTAAGACCTATTTGTATAACTAATACTACTTCTATTAACGTAGTGGTACAATGTGGTTTATTGAAATATAATCTTCCTAGCATTACCCAAAATGTAATGCCTTCCATCAAGAAATAAACTTTTATTAGATTTCATGGGGTTTTGATTTTTCACATCAGTCTTTATGTACATAAAAGAACACTACACACCATACGAGAGAAACTTTCATGCCTAGTTGTGACTGCCTACCTTTTCTATTAGGGGTAGATATGGTCTGGTTTGGCCTGGTTCCACTTTTGAACTGGAACTAGAACTGAAAAATATCAAGGGATTTTGTCAAATCTTCTTCTACTTCTAATATCAAACACATATTTCAACAACAAACTCAATCAAATTTGAGTTCCCATTACTAGATCTACAAGATTTGTGACTGGAAGATAGAAAGTGTACATAAAAATATAAATCCTAATCAATACCAAAGTGTACATCCTAAACTGACATTATCATTGTTCTAAAAATCCCCGCCTAGCGCTGCCTAGATGCCAGGTGGCTAGCTACCGTCCCGATTAGTCCCTAGGCGTTTGAAAATGAGAAATTTGGAAATGAGAAAGTGCGCCTAGTCCCGCTTAGGCCTTCACCTAGCCCACCTAAACCCACCTAGCCGCCCGCCTATGTCGCGACTCTCCCTTAGACAAAAAATTGATAACGTTTATTTTGCATTTTATTTTGTCTATAAAATGTAAGAGACTTATTGAATACTTGAATGACCTCTCATTATATGCATGTTCTACATATTTTCAATATGTTCTAATGCTTTGTAATTTATGTCATTTTATTTATTAATTTATGTATTCTAATAGAATTATGTATTAATTTTAAGTATAAATAGACACCTATATGTACAATATATAATAAATTTACTTAAATTCGGCTAGGCGCTAGTCCTCAACCCGCCGTCGGACTACCGCCTAACGTCTTTTAAAACCTTAGAAATTATAATGTACATAATGTATAATATACTTGAAAAGAACGAAGAAAAATAAACGAGGGGAGAGAAGTGAAGTATATTTGGCTTATGCATAAGGGCCTTCTTGGAAAAATGGCTATTTATATGTATACAAAAAATAATATTAAAAACAGTTTAGTCTCATTCCTTCAATTCTTAGTATTTCTAAACTGGAAGCGGAACCAATTTGAGACGGTCCAATTCAATTTTTGTTTCGATTTTGACTTTTGATTAACGCATTTTTTTACTGATTTTTTTTTAATTTTTTTTTATCACTAATCGATTCAGTTTTCCCGCTCGGCGGTTTTTATGCCCACCCCTACTTCCTATCCGCGGTGTCATTGAGAGATAGGGAGGGTACGACAATGGCATCGGGTAGGGACATATTTTTCCATCATATAGATTATAGACTGAAAAACAATAAGCCTGAATATCATTCTACCCACTCCTAAAAGTACAATCATATGGAAATTGTAAAATTACTTGATCTAATTTTCACACTGACTTTCAAAAAATAGCACAAGTGTGGCATACATTATCAAAATGATCAAGATCGTACATTATCAAATAAATTAATCTACAAACTTATCAGTTATAAAACATCTTACGATGCGAAAAAAGCAAAAATTTCTGTGCTACAAAAATGATCAAACAAATGAGTTCCGAGCTTGGAGAGCTTCTTGTAGGCAAATGACGGCACCATCATAATTTAAGAACCCCATAAACCAGAACTCATGGTTATCAACGGAGATAACCTGAATGTACTTTTCGGCAGAGTTCGATCTGCTTGACGATGGATTGACTGCTTTAAGCTGATGTAACGGGATAACCACCTATTATAATTCTCGTGTCAACGGAAATTAGTACAAATATCAGTTAACAACTCGTTAACCAAAATATGACTCACTCTAATACACCACATATGATCGTTTCTTTTCAAAAAAAAAAAAAAAAAAAAAAAATACACCACATATGATCGAGAGCAAATAAACAAAACATTTCAATGATATATACTTAAAACTCCTCAAATAAACCCGCTTCTAACACATCCAAAATCCTTGAAGCTTTGAAACTCTAAAGCTTTCAAGCATCCAACCTCCCAAATTCAAGCAAATCCCGAATGATCAAGAAAGCCCTCTTCAATCTTCGTCAAATCCTCCTTCAAGATCAAGCCCTAACGGCCCTTGAAGAAATTTCTCCTTCAAGATCAAGCCCCAACGGCCCTTGAAGAACTTCCACCAATTCAAGATCAAGCCTCGACAGCCCTTGAAGAAAGTGTTCAACAAAATCCACACAACTGTTCATCCTAAGATCAAGCCCCGACGGCCCTTTTGGATCAACAACATCACACCAAATCCACATAACTGTTCATCCTAAGATCAAGCCCCAACGGCCCTTTGGATCAACAACATCAACAAATCCACACAATTGTTCATCCTAAGATCAAGCTCCAACGGCCATTTGGATCAATAACATCAACAAATCCACACAATTGTTCATCCTAAGATCAAGCCCCAACGGCCCTTTGGATTAACAACATCAAACAAATCCACACAATTGTTCATCCTAAGATCAAGCCCCAACGACCCTTTGGATCAACAACATCAACAAATCCACACAACTGTTCATCCTAAGATCAAGCCCCGACGGCCCTTTTGGATCAACAACATCACCCAAATCCACATAACTGTTCATCCTAAGATCAAGCCCCAACGACCCTTTGGATCAACAACATCAACAAATCCACACAACTGTTCATCCTAAGATCAAGCCCCAACAGCCCTTTGGATCAACAACATTAATAAATCCACACAACTGTTCATCCCAAGATAAAGCCCCGACGGCCCTTGGATCAACAATCATCCATCTTCAAGATCAAGCCCAAAAGCCCTTGAAGATCTGTTCATCATTATTCTTCAATATCAAGCCCCGACGACCCTTGAAGAAAGTGTTCTTCGTTCTTCGTTCATCGTTATTCCAAGATCAAGCCCCGACGGCCCTTGGATCAACAATCCACCAATTCAAGATCAAGCCCCAAAGGCCCTTGAAGAACTTCCACCAATTCAAGATCAAGCCCCGACAGCCCTTGAAGAAAGCACCATCGTTCATCACCGTTATTCAAGATCAAACCTTAACGGCCCTTGAAGAAACACTCATCCTCAAGATCAAGCCCCAGCGGCTCCTTGAAGATCCGCTCAAATCCACCTTCAAAGATCAAGCCCACGACCCCTTGAAGAAACTTCCAACAGTTCATCCAAGATCAAGCCTCGACGACCCTTGGATCAACGAAACATCCACAAATCAACACCTTACGGAGATCGAATCAGAGGATCAAGATAAAGAGATTGTAACCCTACAAATCCATTAACACCAAAATCTTTCTTTGTACACGTTGTTCTTGTCGCTTTCGTTTCAGGAATTTTCCGTGTTCACAAAATCATCTTGAAATTTTACTAATACATAATACTATAGATAATATTTATTTCTTAATAGTACTATAATTACTTTATGCTGGATTCCATACTCCTGAATGGAAACGAACAATTTGTTTAGGAGATCCAGAAGAAATTAACTGTTTGAGAATACCTCCATAACCAATTTCAGAGGCATCAGTTTCAATAGTTTTGAATGAATTGGGAGTTGGAATGCCAAGACAGGGCAAAGTCATAACATGCGATTTGATTTGTTTGACTATGAAAGTATGAGTATTGGACCATGATGAGGGATTTTCTTTTAAAAGATCAAATAAGGGTTTGCATTGTTGTATAAGATGTGAATAAAATTCTGCAAAATAATTTAAAGATCCCAGAAATCTCTGTAATTGGGTTTTGTCAGTGATTTCATTTGGGAACTTATCAGCAAATTGAATTACTCTATCTATTAGTTGAATGATTGATTGGCGGATATTGAATCCTAAAAACCTAATTTTGGTTTGGAATAACTTAATTTTGGTTGCTGAGACAACTAATCAATTTGACTTAATTATCCTAGCAAACATATTTAAGTGTTTCCAATGCTCATCTATCGATTTGGAATAAATGAGAACATCGTTAATATAAACAATTGAGAAATTACTGTATTGATTAAATATTTCGTTCATGATATTCTGAAATTCACTGGGTGCATTTTTTAGACCGAATGACATTACATTCCATTCATAATGACCAAAATGAGTGACAAACGTTGTTTTGTATTTATCATCCTCATGAATTTGAATCTGCCAAAATCCAGACTTTATGTCGAATTTTGAGAAGATTACAGCTTGCCTAAGTCTCTTAATTAAATTTCTTTTGTTAGGAATTTGATATCGTATCCATTAAGAAGGTTTGTAATTAATGACTAACCTGGGAGTTGCTTTTTCTAATTCAGCATTTTTCTAGACATAAAAAGCAGGACACAAGACCATGGTGATTTGCTTTTCCTAATGATTCCTTTATTGAGAAGTTCTTGGATTTCTGTTTTGCAGAATTCCATAACTTCTTGACTCATTTGGATTGGTCTGGCTTTTGTTGGTATTTTCTTTTCATTAAATTCCTTATTGTAAGGAAGTTTAACAATGTGTTGTTTTCTGTGACTAGAAGAGACTAGTTTAAGTTTATTTGGTTGTTTTAAGCAGTTTTGAGTATTTTAAGTTTGCTTTGAGTCTTGTGAATCTTGTTAAGTGTTTTTAAGTTTAATTTTATGTTTTTTGAGTCAGTTTAGAGGTTATTAGCAAGCCCTCCTAATCCTCGGTCTAGAACGATCCCTACTTATACTTGTATTACAATTG